ACAGGCTGCTGCAGGAGCTCGGGCAGCTGAGTGCGGGACGGATACACCTCCATACCTGGGAAGGGGACAGGGAGAGGCCTCACACAGACACCAGGGTGCAGGGTTACCCTTGGGGGGCAACCGACTCCCAGACACTGACCTACCAGTGGGGAGGGGCGCTTCGCTGGGGCACAACGTCCATTTCCATTCCGGCCCCTCACACCCAAGCTTGCCTGGCTCAGGGGCACAGAGTTAGGCCCATACCTGAGGGGGCAGCACAGAAGTCTCTCCCCTGCACCCCAAGGGTTCCCAGGGCGCCCTGCCAGGACACGGCTGGCTGCGCGGGGCAGCACGGAGCTTTACCTGCTGTGGAGACGTTCACTGTGTTGCTGGGGTAGCTGATGTAGCTTCCGGCAAAGGCCACCAGGCGGAACTCGTAGAAGGCGTCCTGGGATAGCAGAGAGGCTGGGGTGAGGGTACAGCTGGCGCCTGCCAACTCTTCCCCCTTGGCATATGGCCCTGGCCAAGGGCAGCTCCTGCCACAAAGGGGTTCCGCCCCAGCACCAGACGCAGCCTGTCTCAACAAGCAAAGCCCCAGTCCATGCAATAGGCACTGCTATGGGGCCAGTGCCAGAGGAGAGCAGAAACCCTTTTCCACCCCCAGTGGCCTGCTGGGTGAGAGGATGCTCACATGATGCACCTTAGCCTGTGCCCAACTAGGCTGTTTGGGCCCCTGTCGCCCTTTTGGGGCCTGCTGTTTCTCTGAGAGCTCAGCGACCTGCAGCGCCAGGGCACAGACTCCAGGGGCTCGGGCGGCCAATCTCAGCAGGGGTGGGGCAGATCTTGGGCAGAAACAGCCTGGGCAAGACCCGACGGGACTCCTACAAACCTTGATGAGTCCGGGCACCAGGACCTGGGTCCCCCCCCCCCCACCCCCCCGGCCCCTGCCATAACTCCAGGGCGTAGCCTGTCAGGGCCACGGAGAACTGCAGCGGGGGCTCCCACTGCAGCAGGACCCCCCGCGACGTCTCGTTGGCGGTCAGGGACTGTGGAGGGGACAGGAAGACGCGTGGGGCTGTGGTGGGTGGCTCAAGAGGCACCTCAGTGGCTGGGAAACCTGGAGGGAAAGGAGACATTGAGGAAAGAAACCAGGGCAGCCATTCGGGGCTGTCAGGGCCACGGAGAACTGCAGCGGGGGCTCCCACTGCAGCAGGACCCCCCGCGACGTCTCGTTGGCGGTCAGGGACTGTGGAGGGGACAGGAAGACGCGTGGGGCTGTGGTGGGTGGCTCAAGAGGCACCTCAGTGGCTGGGAAACCTGGAGGGAAAGGAGACATTGAGGAAAGAAACCAGGGCAGCCATTCGGGGGTAGGAGAGCCCCAGAGCAGCCATTCAGAGGCGGGGGGGCGCGAGG